CCCATGTGACGTGACGAAATCAGTTCAAAGGCTTGCTACTGATAATTTGATGCTAATGTGCTAAAATATTAAGTATTTCTTTTAATTGATACTAAAGAACAACGTTTAAAGATTCTTGTAATAGTACGACTTTAATCTGGTAATATTATGACTTTATTTTCATAATATCATGACTTTTTTCTCGTTATATTATACAACTTTAATCTCATAATACTTTATTCTTGTAATAAAATAATAATCATCTCTGTGTGGCCCTAATACTAAGGAAACAACTAATGCTAACAGTCAAAACTACTAAACACAAAACTGTGMCTAAAAACACAAGACTTTTAAATTATCAGTATAAACTAATGAGGGCCAATTAAAAATCTGTATCAGAGGCCACTGTGAAAAAACCTTGGAACCTGRAAATGATTAAATAAGAGTATAAAATAGTATATTATTTACATGAATTAGATATTATATTAAAAGTCACTATGATGACCTCCCCAATCAGCACTATTAAAAAACGGTGCATATTAGGCAGCAGCAGAATAATTCAGTTCCACTTGCTTAAGGCTCGGTGCGTCTGTCTTCAGTTACAGAACTGCACTGAAATGAGATGATCAACAAAAACACTACGAACAGAAAGGTCCACACAGACAAACAGAAACATGTCCAAGCAACAGATAATCCTAAAAACATCACAGTTGTGCTTCAGGTTCTGGTTTTGGGACTTTTTAGTGAAGCTGCTGCTGCTCGCTACAGAATAAAGATCCAGGGCTAACGTAAGGCTAGAAGGTAGTTTCTGACCTGAACAGAGTGAATAAAGCTATTTTAGAGACGTCAGTGTTGTCTCCATGCTGCTGCTCCTCAGCAGGAACTTGAGAAGGCGACTGAATGAAGGTGAAGGTTCTGTTCTGCAGGGACTGGTCCAAGGATCTGCTCTGTTGGACAGGTTTTACAGCTGGACATGAGAACAGAGCAAACACAGCAGGCAGCAGCTGGTGCTCCTCTGCAGGTGAGGAGGAGGTGTGGTCGCCTCTGTGGAGTGCTGCAGCCTGAGTGAAGTGTGTGGCTGTGGGGAATGATGTCACTTCCTGTTTGGTTCCGTCGTCTATGTCTGGCCTCYGGCCTGAACGCCTGTCAGATCATTTCGAATGATCTCATTCACTGCGAGGAAGATAAAGAGAGGAACGTTAGACGATTACAGGCTGAATCTAAGCCTGAGCTCATACTGTACAACACATCCTTTCAGAAAACAATATATATACCTATATAT